GGCACCCATTTAGATCTCATCTCTTTTGTCGTAGAAGTCAACAATCAAGGCATATATCATAATATTAAACTCGGCTATCATTTCACATTTATGTTTTTGATGGGATTATACTATTTATATATATAACAAACCGAGTATAAATACTGCCCCCACTAACATACCTAATACAGATCCCCCGTTCAATTCAAACGGGGATCGAAATACGAATCAGAATGACATAAATATATGAATATATAAAAAAATATAAAAATTTGCACGCCTGTATGCAAGCTGAATACACTGGACATTATATTTAATATTGTATACACATATAAGTACTGTATTCTGCGAATAAATGATTTGATTGATTGAATAAATAGTTGATAAACTTCACAATAAAAATAAAAATTAAAAATGGAATGCGATTTTCCCGCCAAAAAATCTTTAATATTCTAAATGCGAAAGTTTGTGAGTATGGATGGATGTTACTCTTTCACGCAAAAGCTACTGGATAACAGTAAGATTGCTTATATATCAGAATAACACATAAGGGTATAGTTTAAAAATATATTATGTAAATTGGGCGAAATATAACGTTCAATGTCATGCAAGTGTAATGCAGACGAAGCTACGCTGGCCAGCTAGTTCTAATATAAATATCACCAGGTAATTACAACAAGTTGTACTTATTAATAACTTATTAATAATATTGTAATTTGTATGTTATGAAATTGTCCGTGATAACATAACGAGATCGCATTGTTTTGTTTCTGTTTACCTTTAAAGGCATAAGGAACAGTACCCATACAGCCATGTCTGTTTGCTAATGATTTATTTACAACTTATTTATAGACATATAGAAATAATTATTTAGTATATCCATAAATAAATAAATCAAACAACAGCAATAAAAAAACTACCGCATTAACTGGCTCTGCCCCAAAAACAAGGGCGTAAAATATGCAGGCTGGCGCTATTGAGCGGGGGCGGGTATGACGTCACACCTCGACCCCGGCCCGCCAGTCTGCCGCCGAAAACTCCGTGCTTAGGCCTCCAGTCCTATTCAAACCTCTTGATCAATCGTGCTTCAACAGAACCTCCCGACTCTATAAACCTCCGTCAATCAATGACATTTTAAAAAGTTACGACATTCTATTTTTGAATACCATTCGGCTTTGTCACTGTCCGTTTTTGTTATTTTTTCGTCGTTTCTCACGAAAATGGTTGCCAGTGCGAAATATCTTTTTTTCTATTTATACGTATTTGGATGTTGTGGCTAAGGTGAGGTGTTATTATGGTTGCGTGTAGAAATATTTGTAATATGGCTTTTAGTTTTAGATCGTGGACATACTTGTAAATATCCTTTTTTAGACAATATTTACTATCTTCTTGATATAATTTAATTTCTTTTAGGAATCAAATATTTCTTAAATAACCTCTTATCTTTACATCTTAAAAAAAGTACATTCAGCCTGGAGAACATAGCTGAAAATCAGTGTTTTGATTCTTGAGTATTGCTGTAGCACACACATGCAGGTTTACCCATATTGTATTGTATTGGTTTATATAATCTGTATTGGCTTAATTACAAGCCTATATGTGTGTACTAATATACAAAAAACCTCTTATCTATCTATCTTATATTCAATTATAACTGTATTGACAAAAAAAATGCTTTCATTATTGACCGTTACTGTTATTGTTAGACGATTTATATTTTTTTTATTAAAAGAAAGATTTTTTTATAAATTGAACTAATATTTTGCATGATATTCTACAAAGTGTCGATAGTAAATTTAATTACTTTTAAACTTTCGAGTTTAGTGTACATTAATATAGTTTATTGGGTTTTAACACGAATGGTAGATAAAAATAATCGCTTGACTTTCAGCCAGATTGCACCACCTGTGGTCACGAAACAGCGACTAAATTATATACCTTACACTTTGACTTTTGACGACCACAATGGTCGAGCGGTTTTGCACACCGCCTTACTTCCAATGGCCACGGGTTCGATTCCTCAGACGGTACAATCATTTGTATTTATTACACATAATTACAAATTTGATTTATAATGTCAGTCTGGGTTTATTTTATGTAAATTAACATTGCGTACAGCCATGTCACGCTCGACATTCTACTGTAATTCGCCGTGCAATATTGTGAATCTGTGGCACATTTATTTGCGCGGGAAAATAAAATACTACAAAATGGCTACTTCTCATAGGTACTAATTTTCTTAATTCTCAATTGTTTTATACTATTGTTTATGTCTGTTACTAATTTGTTATACTATTTATATATATAACAAACCGAGTATAAATACTGCCCCCACTAACATACCTAATACAGATCCCCCGTTCAATTCAAACGGGGATCGCATCCGGCAGGCGGGAGTTGGCCTTCAGCCGCTCCATAAGTCCTTCCGCGGGTTAGGAGTGACATCTGTACTCGCCATTATCGTCCGGTGAAGCTGTAAAGGCCAGCTGCGGCAGCATTAGAGTAGTCCGAAAAAAAATCTTGTCTACCCGATAAACTATGTTGATGCAATGTGTTCATGTTTGTGCCTTTATTTTGTGTGCGTCTGATTCTTGCCTTCTCCGTACTTGTGATGTGAGGGGGGCATGTTATGTCATTTATGTGTGTTGTGCCTTGCATGCAGTCGTCACGCCTCGCCTGACAACCAATGACAACCTACAAGCCGTTGGTAAGCAGTGTATATCGTTATTTTACTTTAAATATATTATTTTATTTATAAAGAGAGAGAGAAGAGAAAAACATATTAAAATATAATATTAATTTATAATAACAATAATCTCACGAGAATTCACGCAGCGCCATCTATAACCAAGTATTAGTAACATAGTAAGACATTACTGAAACCATTTTTATTAAAGCAACTAAGGCAGAGTTTTTATTCCGCTGAATCATTGGGCTCCCTAAAATATGGTCGAGCGCTATGATGGCTGGCTCATCCGTCATACTCGTGAACGAGTGCTGCTTGTAGGCACCAGTCTGATCTACTTATTTAATCTTATTTAGTTACTCAACCAGTTCGTGTATTCAATATTTTGACTATAATGAATTATTGCTAAATAGTAGTTTGTATTCACACATTTCAACTTAATAATGTAAAGTTACAACATTTATTTAAAAGATCAACACACAAGTTTCATATTCGTCCTTCTTGTGATGAGACAGCTTACCGAATGAGCGGTAGATTAAAAAAATAAGTATATCTATTCAAATTTGCTTAAATTTAGGTTTATTTGACTAAATAATATTCTGTATTCTATTCTAATTGTTTTTGTTTTATTGTGTACTATCGGTGTCTATGTCTAACATTAAGTCAAAATCCCGTGCATGAGCTACCATCGTAAACTAAGTTACTAATTACTAAATAGTAATTTGTTTACTTAATTATTTGAATGTATAGACAGACAAACATTATAATTAAAACTACAATTAATGCTACGAAGAACCCGCATGATTTTCTTTTACGGTGTAAGAAAACATTAAACATTATTTATAAATATACATATAGGTATATTTATAAATAATGTTTAATGTTTTCTTGCCGAAAAAATCGAGTACAATTTTATTGACTAGCTATTCGCCCCGGTTTCGCACGGGTGTACATGTATTATATATATAAACCTTCCTCTAGAACCACTCTGTCTATTTAAAAAAACCGCTTCAAAATCCGTTGCGTAGTTTTAAAGATGTAGGCATACATAGGGACGGACAGATAGCGACAGCGACTTTATTTTATAGGTACTATGTAATGATAATGATGATACATATACGTTCAATGGAGTGCAGTCCTTTTACACATGATTAGCTATGCCCTGCGGTTTCACTAGCAGTATATTTTAAAAGAAACAGCGGCCGTATTGGATTTTCTTCCATCGTGTCGTTACACACTTTTGGCCCAGTTATTATATCGTTTTCACTTAGGATATCTCTGGATGTTTCTAATTCTTGCTCAGTTTCTAAAGTTTATAGCGTGATATTAAATGGCCATCCAAAAGCATTCGGCTGTGAACTGTAAGTAATTATTCAAAACTGACCAGAAGATCAGTAAATTGCTAGTATGGGCATTGCACTAATGCCCATACTAGCAATTTCCTGATTGTTAGCAATGTACTATGTCAGGTCGACCTCTATGTCGTTAATTCCTGGTGAATTCGCCATGATATGCGAACTGACCTGACTTCTAACATTCCCATCTTCCACTGGTCTTCGCTAATAATGTGAGTGCAGGTTGATGCACCATATACATGCTTTAAAAGAGACTCTTACTAATAATTACAGAGTTTAATGGTGTCAAAAAAAGAACCCCATTTATAAATACTACCTGCTGACTCCTTCGTCTACGTCAATTTTTCCCGTTTTCCTAACACGTTTAATTGCACGGTCCTATTAGCCGAAGCATGATGTTATGTAGCCTATAGCCTTCCCCGATAAAGAGTATAAAAAATATTTATCCAACACTAAAAGAATTTTCAGAATTGGATCAGTAGTACACTTAGATTGTGGAATGAACTACCTGCCGAGGTTTTCTCATGATACTTCAGCATGGGGTTATGCAAGAAGGGTTAAGGTCTTTTAAGGGTCGGCAATGTGCATATAACATCCCTGATGTTTCAGGCGTCCATAGGCTGCGGTAACCATTTACCACCAAATGGGCAGTATGCCTGTTTGGCACCATAATAGTATAAGAAAAAAACAATATAATATTAACAATTAACATTAGTTATCCGCACTTAGCCTCTGATTTGGACGTTATGCGTGTGCCGATACTACTATAGTCAGTATATAGAATAGTACTATAGAATAGTCAGCCAAGCTCCTCCCAGAAGCGGAGAAGCCTCTTGGTGTCTTTACAGACACCAGACGTCACGGAATACCGGCAATTATTGTGACTATCCAAACTTATAAACTTGACCTTTTATAATACTAGTATAGAAATGTAGATACTAATGAATCAGTAAGTAATAAAGTATTTACATATATTGCAGGGCTCAGCAGATTCCAACTACTCGCAGCCATCATCGGAGCTGTCGCTGGACGAAGACAAGGAGGCGCTGCGCCGCGAGAAAGAAGCGCAGGCACTCTTGCAGCTCGACAAGGCACGGGTAAGCTCTTCTCATTTAAGTACTATCTAAAACGAGATACACTTTTTATTATATCGGCTACGTGCCACTGTCTCTAATATTTTTCTACCAAGCAGCTTCCTTTATAAGAAGTATTTTGATTGGTGACAATAAATAAAAATTTTATTCGTCTGTATTTTTATTGGTTTGTTTGAGCTATTGTCTGGTGATTGGACCTCTATCTATTGTGCTCGCCCTTTTTTCTGTCAGTCTTGATCACTTGTGAAACAAATGTCCTTGTCACGCCACAAGCAGCGGCGTGGTGGGACTGGTCATTGGGCTCCTCAACATATGCCTGGCTGGTTCACTTCTTATATTCGTGAAAGGGGTTGCTTGTGTTATTAGTCAGGCAACTATTTATTATATATATCAACTTTGCTACACAAAATCCTAAAAATGTAATGCTGAATGAAAATAACATTTATTTCAAAGAGTAATATTGATTATGGGAGAATGAGAGTAAACAAGTAATGGGCAAGGTACAGTAAGTAAAGGTACTTACTGTGCCCATTCTTGTTGTGATGAATTTAAGTTCCGAATGAGCAGCAGAATAAATCATAACTAATGAAAAGTCCTTACATTAAGTTTAACTTATTAAAAATGGATTCTAAATCTCAGTACTCCAGAAAGGCACCACGATATCACGGGTGTCACGGTAACCTGCTATTCATGTACCTACATAGAGATGATTACCACAGTGTGGGCCGACAATTTGTTTGCTATACCAATTACCATAAAAACAGTTAGTAATCCACATTTTTAATAATTTCCAGTCGAAGCCCGTCGCGTTCGCAGTGCGCACGAACGTGTCTTACGATGGCACCATCGACGACGACTCGCCCGTTCACGGCAGCGCCATCTCCTTCGACGTGCGCGATTTCCTGCACATCAAGGTATGCCCAGAAGTAGACACAATCAGCTTATTCTTATATCATGCTATTAATTATTTGGAAGGCAATTATTACAGGAACCAAAATATATAATGAATCCTAAATATGTAATGGATTTATATTATTTTATTTAATTCCGCTACAATTGGTATCTATGAGATCACAAATATTCATTGCGGACACCTGACCTTCTCTACTGTAAGCTCTGGTTACGACCTCTATTCGTGATCAAATTCCGGTAGTTACAGAATCTACACCCATATTGCGATACGTGTTTCGCCTCTGAATGAAACATCATCAGGCAATTAATATTATTCATTGCCTGATGATTGATTGCCGAGGCGAAAAATAAAGCAAGAACAATAACTATAGACATTCTCGTGTATTGTTTTAGGGTATACTTAGATTTTTACTAATATTTTTAATTTAATAAGTATCTGTGGATTCATTTTTATGTCGTCGACATGGTGGTGTAACATAGTTATTAGGCATTTTTTTTGTTAATGAGCAGCCCAGTAATTTCACTACCATATCGTAAACATATGATTTTTTTGCATGGCAACAGATCTATATATTGTTAAAGTTATGGAAGCTATTTTTTTTTATTGGGTTGTTTGGGCTATTGTCAGATGTGTAGCACCTGTAGCACTGCGACCTACATAGATCTATTGTGCTCGCCCTTTTCAGAGTTCGCTACCTATACCCGTCAGGGACAAGAATTGAAGGATATTCTTAGGAGCGATCGTTTTTATCTCCTCGGGAAACAGTGTAAACTTTCCAAAGGAGATATTTCGTTTATGCATGAGTGGGCTACAACCACATAGGATGTGAAGCGGCGTTTCCTCTTCAGTTTGGCAGAATCTGCAGATACTTGTCGTGCATAGGCCTAGCTTAGCCATATGCTTGTTCAATTTGCAGTGTCCTGTGAGGGCCCTAGTCATCATGCATACGCATGACTAGGGCTTCCATACGGAAGCTAATCCTCACATTGATCGGTTCCAGGAGAAATACGACAACAACTGGTGGATCGGGCGTCTCGTGAAAGAGGGCTGCGACATCGGCTTCATCCCGTCGCCGGTGAAGCTGGAGGCGGTGCGCGCGGCGCTGGCGGCGCGCGGCCGGGGCCCGCGGCCCGCCTCCGCCGCGCTCGCCGCCGCGCCGCCGCCGCTGGCCAGCAGAGGTAGCACCCCTCCCACGCCCGGTACGTCACTCACCCCATGCTTCCTGCTACTTTATGACATTGCTTTTGCTACTGCATTCAATAGCCGTTACCGGCAGCAAACGAAACACTAAAACATTGAACTTTTTTTAGTTATACGTAGTTTTACACTTCGAGCGTTTAAAACTGAACTGCACTGTGCACACGATATCGTGGTTCTATTTTAAAGACGGTAGGTAGGATCGTTATGGTCAAATCAGATCTTATATTTTGTACTCAGAGATAATGATATCAAACGTCTAGAACATGCAATTTTTACTATTTATATATTTCTTTCAACTTTATAGGCACAAATCATATTAATTAATTAATTCAAACTAAATAGTGGTCGTTAACTCACTTAAAAACAATACAACTAACAATAGTGTATTTGCAGAAACATTAAACTTGTAATAAATCTTTTTTTAGAGACACGCGCACAACGCGTCCGTTCCATTCGCCGGCTGCTCGTATAATGCCCTTTTCGCCCCTTTTCGTCACTGTTCATAGGCCGCCATCTTGTGCCTCACTATTTACGAAAAATCGGAAGTTATATAAAATATTAGCTGTAAAAATCGTTTTGATTTACTTTTAAACAACATTGTTGACTTATTAGAAAGTGACCATACATTTTGAAGTTAAAGTACGTTAAAAGGAGGTTTTATTTTTTGTAAATAAGTCTAAATCCCGCTATTCAAGAAGATTTAATTTCATAGAAGTCTATTCTTTATTGTGCCATTTGTATCTATGCTTCTTCTATAAATGTATAATTTCGTCTATGATTGACATAATGGAACTCGTCAATGAGAAGGCCAGTGTCACAGCTATACGTTCTTCGTCAGTTCCCAAATTTACATGTAAACGTTTTTATGAACTAGACGTTCGTTTCGATACGTCTGACGTGTGTTGGCCACCTGTTGCGCCATAAACTCTCATAGCGCATAATCTCGCTCATAGATCTATTTGTATTCTCTTGTCACAGTTAAAATGAACTTATGTGACAAGATATTGAAATAGACTATCTGGATGATGCTCAATATTATGAAATTGTATGGAAATATGTTGATTATGTACGTCAGTCGTACGAAATGCGCGGGGAACGAAAATTGATTTGAGACAAGCATGCAAGCAAGCACGAAGAATATGCGTTTATGAGCCTGAGAGTTATCTTGATTATACAAAATTTCGATGTATTCAACAATTACATTTTATATAAAGAATATATAATAATATCAATTTAAATTTACATTGCACTACTAGCACCTATTACAATATGCTTATTTTTGCACAACACTCTACAACTTAACTCATTATAAGCAGACAACTAGTACCTAATTTAAGATTTCGTTCTCAAGCACTGGTGTTTAGTGCTTTGTTCCCTTTTTTAACGTTTAATAATTCTTCACAAAACTCTCGTGGAGGAAAGTGGGTGGGATGTCTGAATTTCTAGCCCACTGTGTAACCATGAAGCGCTTTGCCAGAAATATGATGGTAGTAGCGTTACATCTTCATATATGCAAATTAGAGATTATTGGAGACTCTGTAACTCCACTAATACACATTTTTGAAGTTGTCTAATAGCTGAATCGTTACAGAATTTAAATTTTATTATTATATTTACTGACTTTGCCGTGGTAACAAGCACAAAAGGCGCTCGGCTCCTTTCGGGGCTTGTCGGTGTCCTCCGGAAGGTCCCTCTTTCGCGCTGCTGCTTCATGACGACTACCGTATAAATAACAGAGATAATAATAACCCTGGATAATTGAAAAATCGCGAATTCCCTTCTACCGATCAAGCTCAATACGTTATCGGATATTCTAACACGTGTTTCACCTCTAAACGAGGCATCATCAATGAATAGAGTTGAGATATAGTTGGAAGCCTAATGTTGACTGGTCGGCGACCAAAGTACCTAGTTTCTTATGGTCATAACTCTTCCAAAGCGTTGGTCAGGGTTCCGCACTAAATGTTAGTCCTCTCACACATGCTAATGGTACTGGAATTAAACAAAATGATACAAATGCATATATTATTGAGATAACTATTTAAATGTTTTAAGTTTGATGCGGTCATTATTTATACGTATAATTAGTAAATGTTTTATTTTTATTGAGTTCCCGATATTTCGATAGGGTTTCAACCGCCATGATCACGGGTAAAGTGTTCAGTTTACCCGTGATAACCGTGGTAAGATCGTGATTTACTAATTACATGTATAAACTATTTAAATTCTCAATAATATTTAGACTAGACTGTTAGATCAGGACCACACAATGTGATCATAGTTGCTTTGCGCTCAAAACCATTATTGGTCACGCGAGCCATATGAGCATACCACATTACAGACCCTAGGGTACACCAATGCGACCCTCTGAATTTGGAATATTAAATTATGTGTTATATATATGTATAAAATTTAAAAACAAGTTCACTAACTGGAGGAGGTTTTGAGGAGCCGCTAGTAGTGATACGGTCATGTTATGCTGTGAAAATAATTTTGTTTTATATCAGATATTTGATATTGTTTAGAGTTTATATTCAGATAATAATATCTAAATGTAAAATCTATTCGATATACGATTCATCGATAAATTTCAGATTTATAAAGATAATATTTGAACATTGTTCAGATTTCAGATTTGGATAATTTTTTTAATACAATTCGTCGGTTAAATAGAAAAATGGTAGTATTCAAAATGTACATTTTTTTACAAGACAAGCATTTAAAGTATTTTTTTTTTAATTAAATTAAATTATTTTTCTTTTAAAGTTTTAAATTTACACAGAGAATTTATTATACATAATTTTAAAAGTATTTAGATAATGATTAAGACGGCGTGGTTAATTTAATTGACTTATATAAAAGGAGTCTAGCTTCTAATTTTGAAAAATGACATTTTTCTATTTAATCGACGAATTATTGTTAAACACAATACAATACTTATTGTTAAGAATTAATAAATAAAAGTTTAATTATAATATGTATATATTCCGTAGTTGAAGTTTACTATATATTATGTATATTCCTTGGCTACCTAAACGAGAATAGAAACTGAAAAGATATGTTTTTTTGTTTATCACTGATAATCTCTTTAATAACTTAATGGATTTTAAGAATTTCACATACGGAAAGCTCCATTATCCGACTATAACATTGGCTATATTTCATGCAAGCGACGCCGCAGTAAATATACAGTATAATTAATATTTTGAAACCATATTCCGCCAAAGGGTCGCATTGTTTTCCCTAATATTCTATCTGTATACATACAACACACACAAGTATATAAAAACAGGTGGAAATTGATGAGATTTCCTGGTTTTAGCACCCACTATTGTCATTTTTTCAGATTCTTCTAACTTCAATTGAGGTAAGATCACTCACACATGTAAACACCAGGAAATTATGTCAAGTTTCACCAACATGTTCTTATAAAATATATGATTTGGCCCTTTCTATTATAATTTAATATATATTATGTAATTTTATATTGGAAAATATTATTTATTACATTCATTTTGATACCATTATCCATTACATTGTATATATCCTTTTAGATTATTTAAATTTATTTATAAGTATTTGAATACGATAAGCGAATCAAAAGTGAAATTAACGTGCAATAGGTCCAGTCAAAATATCTAATTTATTTATTTAAGGGTAATAATTATTTATATATTTGATTAACTTATTTCTATCTATGGAAAACAATATAATTTTAATAATTAATTTCTAAACATTGGATGCAAGTTTAATATTAAAAAACGATCGAAAAGAATCTTTAAAATCTTTAAACATTGTCAAAACACGAGCGTTTTCTAGTAAACGAAGTATGTTGAAGCATTTTTTATACCGACCTTTAAAATATAAAAAATTCTTCCAAACCGTTTTATTTGAATTATTTCATATTCCATTAAATTTATCATTAATCGTTATTGTGTAATAAACACATAGGAATTATTTAGCTATTGAGCAATTATTCTATTGAAGTGATGAATAATGGAAATAACGTTTTTACCTGTTCAGAAATAGTTCTGAAGGTGTTGGATAATAGAAACTAAGTAAATTATCGATCATTGTGCACCGTTAGCCAATTACAGCAGGCTAACCATATGCCGCGACGCTACCTGCATATATTCGGATAATAAGTATCTACTGTGTTAATATGGATTATGTTCTATCTATTTATGTACCAAATTTCACCTAAATCCGTTTAGTATTTCTTGAGTGAAAAAGTAAAAAACAAAGGTCTTGAAATACTTACGGATTTATAATGTACGAAACTAGCTGGTAGGTATGACTTTGTCCATATTTTTGTACCACGATAGTGGCAATCAAGCATATCTGATGATAAACGGTTACCTAAGAACCTAAGGAGGTAAGCCTATGGACGCCTGAAATAGGTCCATTCTTGTGGCGCAATCTATTTTATACCAAAATTTCATTAAGATCTGTTCAGCCGTTTAATCGTTAATAGCTAATAAATAGATAGACATACATTTCCAATATTAGTAAAAATAATAATTATTAGAAGTGGATCAGGTAACTTGTAGCCAATGTTATAATTGACTGTTAGCACCAATAAGGAAATTCAGTGGTTTTATAAGACGAATGTTAAGAAACTAATCGTAAAATATTGTCTCCTCTTCAGGTGAGGACTCAGATTCGGCAGGACGAGGGCGCGGTGCGGGAGCCCTGCCGGCCGGCAAGGACAAGCGGAAACCGTTCTTCAAAAAGCAGGAGGCCTGCACACCCTACGACGTGGTGCCTTCGATGCGGCCCGTGGTCCTGGTGGGACCCTCGCTCAAGGGATATGAAGTTACTGACATGATGCAAAAGGCACTGTTTGACTTTCTAAAGAGAAGGTTTGAGGGCAGGTCAGTATCATATGAACTGAACGAAAAAGTATATTTGTTATAATTTAATTGGTGCCTTTTAACGATACATAAAAATACCTTTATCTATACATATAAATATAATTGGAGTTTCTGCTTGTAATATTGAAATAACCGTTTTTTACCACATGCATATGAATATAAATACGGTACATACACCAAAATAACATTTTTTACAATTTTCGTCTGTCTGTCTGTCTGTTTGTTTCGGCTAATCTCTGATATGGCTGAACCGATTTTGACGGGACTTCTTTGGCAGGTAGCTGATGTAATGAAATAACTTGGCTACTTTTATTTTAGAAAAGTAAAGTTAAATTCCACACGGACGAAGTCTTGAGAACAGCTAGTAGTAAATAAATATTCATTGTTACTTGAGTAACGAAATAAATCAGTCAGAGATATCAGTGCAGTCAGTCCCTGGGATGACATGAAGAATGATATGAAGAGTTCATTATCATCCAAATTCATTAAGAATTAAATGCAATGTTCGAGTGGGTTTCACTTGGAGATCAATCTGTTGACATTGATAGCAATGTCACTAATCTCCATTACCAACAACTCCCGCCATTAGTTCACATGATACTAAGAAAGTTTAATAACAAACTACATTTCGCGTAGTTATTTATGTAAAACAGGGTAAACCATATCTTTATTATTCAGCTACCACGGCAAGTGTTGGTGTGAGACCACAAACATTCAGTGCGGAAACCTGACCACCGCTAGTGGAAGCGTCCTTTCTTACTAGTGAACTAATTCCGACCGTTATTAGATCTATTGAGATCACCCGTATTGCGACTAGTGATTAGCTTCTAAACGAGGCATCATCAGTCACAATCATCATCAAAAACTATATCATCGAGGCCGTCATAATTAAGTTAATATCAAATCAGTATATCTTTAATCATGTACCTCTATTACAGGCACTTATGACAAGGCTTATCTACGTATGTTATACTAGCTGTCCCGGCAAACACTATTTTGCCATTTATATTCATATCGCTATTAAAAAAATAGGTGTTGATGATAGAAGAGTAAAATATTCTGATTGCATGTATTTTTAAAGTCGAATCGTAAAAAAATTGTCAGTAAGATATTACTTTTTGGGTATGGGCCAACCTTAGTACTTAGGGTTATAAAAAATAAATAACAACCTATTCTCAAACCTACCGAGTATACATATAAAATTTCATCAAAATCGCTTCAGTGGTTTACGACTTCATGGCGAACAAAGAACTTGACACGGAATTTTTATATATTAAGATATATAGATAGAGCCTTAATTCATGAATACATAATATGACATTTCAGGATAATAATAACCCGCGTGATGGCAGATATATCGCTAGCTAAGCGTTCACTCCTCAACAATCCATCGAAAAGAGCGATAATGGAACGGTCCAACTCGCGTTCCACCTGCCTCGCTGAAGTCCAGGTAATCACATCTTGATTGTGTTCCAGGATTATCATCACGAGGGTGTCTGCCGATATCTCGCTGGCAAAGCGATCGTTACTCAATAACCCGCCAAAGAAACCAATTATGGACAGGTCAAACTCCAGGTCAAATTGCTTAGCCGAGGTTCAGGTGCGGTGAACATGGGTAGACATTGTGGCAGTAGTTAGAGCTTACAGCTCCTAATTTAACATTCCCTGGAGTTTCTACGAGACACGGGTCGTTCGTTGTTGGTGGTCACTGTTTATGCAATTTTTGAATCGAATAATTATCATGCTATAAAAAAAGAATAATGTGATATATAAAGTAAAATAGATGAACGAAAGTCTAGTGTATGTGATGAAATAGACTAATCTGAATAAAGACAATAATTTACTTCAGTTTGAAGAATTAAAACAGATTTAGTTTCTCTTACCACCGAAAGGTAGTGTGGAAGAAATCGCTTAGCGATAAGACCGCCTTTTGTATCAGTTAATGTAAATTTACTATTTAAATTATTTTCTATATTTGGTGCAATAGGATAGAATATAAATAAGAGTATATATAATAAAACGTTACAGTACTTGATTTTCATGCTCACGACAAAGAACTAAAAGATAATTTGAAATGAACTTTTCTATAAATGACTAATGTACCATGATGCTTTCTATAAACTACAAAAAGAAAAGATATAAAATAATAATATATCAGCAACCTAGATAATTTACAGAATAGAATAAAAATACTCTTTATCCAACCATACTTGAATGGAACTTTCGTTCTATATAGAGAAGCATTACATAAAGATTCATAGCAAACAAGAACCACCATCAACGCCTTTGTCTTCTAGAGACTTTACTAACAGTCTTCATAACAATATCTCGCAAACAGCTCAGTAACAGATGATAATAGTATTGAAACAATCATCACCATTCATTACAATAATATTGGCGATGCTTTACATTGTAGATAACTGGCTTCCATTCATTTAACACATCACAAACACGCAAGTAATAGCACGAACTAATCAAGAAACATAATTGTTATAATACTTATAAATGATCAATGCAACAGCAAAAATGTAATAGAATGTAGGGCAAATAAAACAGTGCAATGAGTTGAACTAAATATGCAATTTGAAGATTCGGCAAGTCTATCGATTAATTTGTTTCTGATAATGCCTGAAGCACCGGCAAAATCTATTATGCAGTTTTTATTTATTGGTTAGTCTGTATATATTAAATGACAGTCTACGAATTTTGGGTAAATATTTTAATTCTAATAAGTAACATTAAAACCTGTATCTACCTAACAATATATAAATTTCGTCTACAAACTTCTTATAGAAATAGAAATAATTTTCATTCAAATAAACTTAGTATAAGCAGTTTTCAATAGTCATATTTTGTTATTCGGAATTATTAACACATTCGGAACGCAGATTCATCAAGAAGAATGAGCAAGAAATTTGCGTATTGCTCTTTTAAATAATGTTTGTACAGAATTACATTTTAAGAACGTTGTGTTATTAACATCTACATATATTGAACATTTTATAACGAGACATTTCAGCACTTGTTTTTATTACTAACCAGCATGGGTATGCTAAACTAAATATGTGTTATAATATTAAACTAAATTACATGATAATTTTTATTACTGCAGGCTGAAATAGAACGGATATTCGACTTAGCGAGGACCCTACAGTTGGTGGTGCTAGATTGTGACACGATAAACCATCCGTCACAGTTAGCAAAGACATCGCTTGCCCCAACAATTGTATATTTGAAGATTTCTAGCCCAAAGGTAAGAAACACTTCAATAACAAACAGTCTCTATATCTCTCTCTCTCTCTCTCTCTCAGTAACAGAGAAGAATTTAAAGTAAATCCCGAATCGGAGAATCCTCCCTTAGTTTTTCATATTTGGGTTTATAGTATTGTCAAGTGTCCATGTTGTAATGAACACTACTTAAGATGCGCTGATGGCAATATAGCGACAAATTTGAGGTCAATGCCGACAAACCATTATAAAATATAATTTAATAGAGTAAATTGATGGGGAATTTACTATTTTTTTGTGTTGTTCTTGGCCTGTCTAGAACTGTAGTAAGTTCTACATTAGAACGTGTATCTGAAACTGTACTGGCTTATCAAATTTGGCTGGGCAGGAAGAAAAACACGAGCGGTGTAAGTGAGTGTGGATGTACATCGGCAAAGGGGTCGCTTAAAACTTAACCTGGGTCACAAGTCCTGAGAACTGCTCGGAGTTTCCCAGTCTGCCACACAATGGACCCGGCACTTACACGGTTAATCCACGGAATGCTAAGAAGTTCGACTCAATAATTTAATCGCAATTACTTTTACACTAAAGTAGGATGAAAAGGATGACTGTCAATTAAGATCAGATCAGTTAATCTCAGATTACTTACTATTCAAACATTGACCAGAATGCCATAAATTTGTGGAGGTCAATCTAATATTGATAGCAATAAGGACGTGGTTATGAAAATAGAAATAAAATGTCTTAAAATTTATATTTTTCAGGTATTACAGCGGCTGATCAAGTCACGCGGGAAAGGACAGAGTAAAAACTTGTCGGTGCAAATGGTGGCCGCTGAGAAGCTGTCGCAGTGTCCGCCGGACATGTTTGACGTCATCCTCGAGGAGAACCAACTTGAGGACGCTTGTGAACACATTGCTGAGTATTTAGAGGTATGTGATTAATATTTTGACATCGATAGTGTAACAGTTAGTCGTAGTTACTCAATATTTACCTCTATCTCAGCTAATTAGTTTAATCCAATTTGAAGGATGAGGTTTGACAGTGATGTTAAGAGTCGGAACACATAACAGTTTAGTTCTTAGAAATAATCACTCATGGCTACCACCAAAGTATTTACGGGCGTTTTAGCTCTGTTTATATTACTAGTAGTATTTTTGCTCATAGCATAGAGGCAAAAGGCGAAAAGCGGATCTCTTCATAGTAAGAGATAGCAATGATCACCAGGGATACCATAAGCGCTTTGCCTGCCTTTTAAGAAGCAATAAGCTCTTTTCTTGAAGGTTTAAATATCGTATCGGTTTAGAAATACTATTAACGGAAGGTGATTGGTAGTAGTAGTTTCAATATGGGTACCCAGACTAAATTATTTGATCAACTTCAATTTATGGCGCCCATTACGCTGATGACTTTTCTAGCTATATTTAGTTAAGTCACGGCGTAATTATGAGCTCACTCAATGAATTGATAAAGTGAGTTGCTGCTAAGATTTCGATGAGAGTGACTATATAAGTAAATTACAGGGAATTCATCCCCACACACTAAAACCCGAGTAGTTTCGGACACTGCAGTTACAGAGCAACTTCCTCCTGCGTACACTTAGATTTTGGAATTAACTACCTGCCGAGGTTTTCTCAAGAGACTACAGCATGGGGTTTTTCAAGAATATTAAGGTTTTTTAAGAGTCGGCAACGCGCACGTGATACCCCTGGTATTCAGGTGTCCATAGGCTACTGTAACAGTTTACCACCATATGAACTGTAAGCTTATTTGCCACCAATACGGTATAAAAAAAGAAAAAAAAAATGAGTGGAGTTTGTTACACTGCAGACATACTGGCGTGCGACACACCCGCCGGTTGTGGCGACGACGGCTGTAGGGGGCGCCGCCGTCGGCCTGGCGCCGCGTCCGGCGCCGCACGCCCACCACGCGCACCACGCGCACCACGCGCACGCGCAGCCTGGTGAGTCACACACCACACCTACAGCGACGACGGCTGTAGGGGGCGCCGCCGCCGGCCTGGCACCGCGTCCGGCGCCGCACGCCCACCACGCGCACCACGCGCACGATCAGCCTGGTGAGTCACACACCACACCTACAGCGACGACGGCTGTAGGGGGCGCCGCCGCCGGCCTGGCGCCGCGTCCGGCGCCGCACGCCCACCACGCGCACCACGCGCACGCGCAGCCTGGTGAGTCACACACCACACCTACAGCGACGACGGCTGTAGGGGGCGCCGCCGCCGGCCTGGCGCCGCGTCCGGCGCCGCACGCCCACCACGCGCACCACGCGCACCACGCGCACGCGCAGCCTGGTGAGTCACACACCACACCTACAGCGACGACGGCTGTAGGGGGCGCCGCCGCCGGCCTGGCGCCGCGTCCGGCGCCGCACGCCCACCACGCGCACCACGCGCACGCGCAGCCTGGTGAGTCACACACCACACCTACAGCGACGACGGCTGTAGGGGGCGCCGCCGCCGGCCTGGCGCCGCGTCCGGCGCCGCACGCCCACCACGCGCACCACGCGCACGCGCAGCCTGGTGAGTCACACACCACACCTACAGCGACGACGGCTGTAGGGGGCGCCGCCGCCGGCCTGGCGCCGCGTCCGGCGCCGCACGCCCACCACGCGCACCACGCGCACCACGCGCACGCGCAGCCTGGTGAGTCACACACCACACCTACAGCGACGACGGCTGTAGGGGGCGCCGCCGCCGGCCTGGCGCCGCGTCCGGCGCCGCACGCCCACCACGCGCACCACGCGCACGCGCAGCCTGGTGAGTCACACACCACACCTACAGCGACGACGGCTGTAGGGGGCGCCGCCGCCGGCCTGGCGCCGCGTCCGGCGCCGCAGGGGGTCCTCGCGCACCCCGCGCACGCTCAGCCTGGTGAGTCACACACCACACCTACAGCGACGACGGCTGTAGGGGGCGTCGCCGCCGGCCTGGCACCGCGTCCGGCGCCGCACGCCCACCACGCGCACCACGCGCACCACACGCGCACACGCGCACCACGCGCACCACGCGCACGATCAGCCTGGTGAGTCACACACCACACCTACAGCGACGACGGCTGTAGGGGGCGCCGCCGCCGGCCTGGCACCGCGTCCGGCGCCGCACGCCCACCACGCGCACCACGCGCACCACGCGCACCACGCGCACCACGCGCACCACGCGCACCACGCGCACCACGCGCACCACGCGCACCACGCGCACCACGCGCACACGCAGCCTGGTGAGTCACACAGACCTACTGCGACAACGGCTGTAGGGGGCGCCGGGGCCGACCTGCCGCCGCACAGCACGCCACGGCCTGGTGAATTATACACTACGCAATTCCCTGAGTAATAGGACTGACGTATTGCCGCGTGTACCGTGCCGCATCGTAGCCCAGTGAGTAACATAGCAGACGTACGGCCATGCGCATTCGCAGTCGAGTGTGAAATATGGTTGACATACGGCCACGCGCACTCATAGCCTAGTAATTAATATAGCAGACGTATCGTAATCGCCGAGCAGCTCGTGAGCATGGTGCATCACCATGCTCACGAGCTGCTCGGCGTTTACGATTTATGACGATTCCGTCACGTATACGAGAACACATTTAGCACTTATGTCATACAAATACAAATATCTCTATTTTGCCTGAAAAGTGGTTTACAGGATTTTAAATAAATTATAATTTATGTATCGCACTTTTCACCAGAAACTGGCACGCAAAAATTAACAGTGTCTATTTATTATTACAAGAGTAGATATACATATTTCTCAGTATCATTTTTATTTTAATCATTATTAAATTAAATTTAAATTTCTGGTCAAAGTACTACGATTACCTACTTCATGAATTAAAGTACTCATCAACAGTAAAGACACTTATTGATCAGCCATCTTTTTAACTTTCTCCTGAACATATTTATCGGTAGTATTTTTATATCATCACGCAACTATTGTAAATTTTTATTGACATACAATAGGCATTTCTATAGAAGTTGAGATTATTTGGATTCCTTGTGTTAAAATTACAGTATTCACCTTTTTTTCTAAATATTTTTTTTTACCATAACCTACAATACTAAGTATTTAAGTATTAACTAATCGCAATTTTTGCTGAAACGAATCCAAACTAATCTTATTATAAATGGTATCCCGTCTACTTTAATGAATACCACAACATTAATATTGTTCTCTATATAAATGGTAACAGCTACGAAATAATATTAAACAAGAAATGACATCATGTCAGTAATGATTAAGTATATTATGAAACGCTATAACTATAATTAAGTTACAACTTTATGATATAATCAATTCTATGATCTGACCACTTATCTAATACACCGTTTCGATTACTCTTTTTATAAATGAATTAATGAACGCCATAACTGCATGTGTAACCCTATATTCCATCTGTTGATCCCCCCGCACATCCTGGAGGACACCGTGAAAGATCAGACTCCTATAACTACGAGAGAGAAAGAGGTAATAAATCTTCATGTAACATTTTCACATTAGTACTATAGTTTTAAGTTAGAAATTGGCGTTATGTTAAAAACATGATACTCGTGATCAATATGAAGCATATTGATTACAAGTATCATGTTTTTCAACAGATGGGAATTTGTTTTATTAATTTCTTACAAATATTAGTAGAAATAAATTGTATTCTAAATATTTGACTCGATGTACAATTACATTACATGTTGTGTTCATTATTACTAACGAGGTTATTAAACCATTCTATGTTGTAATTTGATGTTGTAACTCCCAAATCCTGGACATATGGAACGTCCTAGAACAATGTCCATTAAATCCAACAGCCCATTGACTCCCGCCTGTTCATTTCAGTACAAGCCTCAGGACAAGCCCACTAACAGCCGAGCGAAGACCATAATTCCAGTATCCCTATAGCAGATACTCCGCCGATGGCCTCCCATCCAGGTTTTAACCATATTTAGCGGCTCCCGCCCGCTTAACCAGCTTCACTAGCGATTGAGGGTGTCGCTTTACTAACTGTCTCGTTTGATTTCGCTCAACATTAACCTAAAGCTTCTACATAGTGGACGTTCTTTATAGGGGCTCCGGGCAGCGGTCCTTTTCATTTCTGTCTAATCACTCGACCATCGGCCGATCTACAAGTACACGGAACACAAAGACAAGACGACATACGCCTGATTCTAACGCGTCTGGCTTTGCCCCCGGGGTTCGCTTATTATGTGCTTATTCACAGCGACGCCGACGCCGCCGCCCTCCGCCGAGGTCGTGCTGCCTTGTCCCGGCAAAGTGCGCAAGCCTGGCGAGGCGCTACTGCAGATGTCGCTCAGTCTAGTGTCCTAGGTCGTAATCGGTAGCCACTAGGTCACTCGGCCGCCGTAAGTCTGGGTGCCCCCGATCCTCATTGACCGCCCGTGTGCCGTTTGCAGTGTGCTCTCCAGCCCCCGCTTCCTCCCCGAGAGTTTATTCCATAAGTGAAATTTTATTATTTCGAATGAAGACAGTCCATTTTTGTTCCGGACGTTTTCTAACTGGGGTGTTTAGTCAATTGCATGTATTTTGAGTTTTATGACGGGACGAAGGCGTCTCGACCGGTAGTTCTCAACCGGGCATCGCATGGCGCCTCGTCCCGGTATCGAGTGGTGTGACTGCCCGCAGGCGGCAGGCCGCGGCCCGCGCGGCCCGAGCGGCTCGAGGAGGAGTACTACCCGCGCGAGCGGTACCAGCGCTACCCGCGGGACCACTACCCGCGCGACTACCACGAGGGCTACGCGGCCGAGTACCCGGCGGGCGGCGAGGCGTACGGCCACGACTACACACGCGAGGCGTACGCGCGCGAGGAGTACGCGCGGGAGGAGTACGCGCGCGAGGAGTACGGGCGGGAGTACGCGCGCGAGGAGCGGGGCCGCGCGCGGGAGCGGGACGCCGCCGACGAGTACGGCCCGTCGCGGCGCGCGCTCAACGCCGTGTAGCCGCCGCCGCCGCTAGGTCCCACGTGGTGCTTCTGAGACCGGTTCTTTTGCGGTTTCGTGTATCCTTAATCTCCGGCGACGGGCATGGCTTCAAACTTTTCGAAATATTTTAAATCCTTCCGACGCTTATTTTAACACGTGTTGCAATCGTGTGTGCTCGCTGTACTCGCTCCGTAATCATCTCTTCAGAAGAGAACTATGCACACGTTTGAACTTTGACCGCCTCGAGGTGCGCTTAAAATCGAAGGCTGGCGGCAAAGTGCAAATGTTTGCTCGAACTTTGGTACCAAAGGGCTCAAAACATTGGTACTAAACTTCGACTCAGGTACTCGCGCACTTGGAGCCACGTCCGGCGCCGCTTAATGTTTTATTGTCGCGCATTCCTTCGGCCCTCTCGGTCGCCGACGCCTGATTCGCTGAGCTTTAGTGACACGCTTCTCGGGCGCGTGTCCCCGTTTCCGTGTATGTGTAAGAAGAGGACGGAGAGACCGCTACGTGTATATCGGAGAGAGATGTAGTGTAGGTTAGCGTGCTGAACCACTCGCACTCGATGGTACGGAGCTCGCGTCGATTGTATAAATTTTACATAAAAATAATTTTAGTACCGTTAGATATTATACGTTTCCCATTTTTTGAACATACTCTGTAATTATATTGCATCGTCTGTACTTCATTGTTGCAATCATTTGTAAATAAAATACTTTATATCGATGAGTTTGAGTTTTTTTTTTGTGATAAAAGCAGATTGTTACAGCATGATCACGCCAAGGTCTTGAGATCTAATCTGGGAGACAGAAAACTTTGTATGTCAACTATAATAAACTCTCCGATGTTGAGGAATACCGATAAAAAGCAAAATAATCTGAGAGAGGGCAGGTCACTCTTCGTAACTTTATTCGTATTCAAATATTCTCAGCAAAATAAATCTGTAATAGATGCTATAATTACCACAATTTAGGTAATTGACATATTTACTCATCATTTATTTATTTACTCACACAACTATTATTACAGGCCTAAGCCCAATACAATAGTGTATCTAATAATATATTATACATGTTCGTTCAGGTGACATATAACATACAATGTTGTTTTTGTGATATCACACTACATACAAACAATAACAGACTATATACAAACAAATCCGTTCTTTCTGGTATTTGATTGAGAGTAGTCAGTGCGAGCGTCATGAGCGCCTTGTTTAATATATTAGTTCTGCCGCGAGGTACCGCTAGCATCTGGAACCTTCGTCCCAGATAATTATCTGGTACTCTAAAACTTATCAAACCAAAAACCAGAGAATTGCTGATTTGATCCCTAAACACTTTAATGACTATCCGGTACCCCCCTCCCCCCTATCTATCCCCAAGCTAAGCAGTGTACTAGACAACTACTGTAGACACATAGTAGAGACATACATAATATGTATAGTAACAACTTTTCAAACAATCATACTCATTGGTACAATTGTTTGCTTCAAGCGAGGAATCGTATGCGCAGCCATCGAATCGAGGTTTTTTTATAGGATGATAATGGAATGGTACACCCGCCTGCGCTAACGGATTACGCTGGCGGGGCACCAGTGGAGGATGATATGATGAACATGAAGTCAGATCAGTTAGCCCAACGTGACAAATTCACCAGGAATGTATCACGATGGTTTCCAGAGGAAACCGCGTGGACGTCGATCTGACATGGTACATTGCTAGCAATAGAATAGAAAATCATTTATTCAAATAAACTTAATTTAAGCACTTTTGAATAGTCAAAATTTTTTTTAATCTACCGCTTATTCGGAAAGCTGTCTCATCACCAGAAGAATAAACAAGAAACTTGTGTGTTGCTCTTTTAAACAATCCTTGTAAGTTCACATTTTACAAGTCGAAACGTGTGAATACAAACTACCAATCAGCACTAATTTATTTAGGCTCAAATATAAAAACACAATAAGATTAAATCAGTCGTAGTGATAAGAGCAGACCAGTCCCTACAAGCAGCACTCGTTCACGAGTATGACGGATGGAATGGGATCATTAGTCCACATTAGTAACAATCCCCTTCCTCTCGAATCGAGGTTATGTATATAAGTATGTAGTATGGGTGAAATCAAGAGTGTTGGTGCTTCAACGCTCAGTGATTGTTCATGAACTTTTTGTGGCTAACAACTAACTCGGTGGTAAATGGTAACAGTCGCTTATATACATGGATATGCGATGGACGATGGCGAAGAATTCGTTAACGATAATAATGTTTTTGTAGAAAAATTTTAAATACATAGCACTGACAATATTATCTGATTACACTAATAATGAGTGCGTAGCGATTTCTATGTTGATTGTCGCATGCCTCTTACTTGTTACACTGTAATTATTTATATAAAAAAAAACATCTATTAAAAAGAGCAACACACAAGTTTCTTGCTCATTCTTCTTGTGATGAATCTGCATTCCGAATGAGTGGTAGAATCAAAATATGACTATTCAAAAATGCTTGTAATGAGTTTATTTGAATGAAGATTATTTCTATTTCTATTTCATAGATACAAAAGTCGCCGTATTTTTTCAAAGTTCGTTATCTAGACCCGTCAGAGACAAGAATTGAAGGATATTGTTAGGAGCGATGCTTTTTATCTCCTCAGGGTATAGTATGTACTTTCTAAAGGAGATATTTGTTTTTCTATATGATAATGAAATAGTGCACCCGCCTGCGCTAACGGTATACGCTGGCAGAACACCGATGGAGGATGATAATATGAGAATGAGGTCAGGTCAGTTCGCCCATCTTTTTCGGACTACTCTCATGCTGGCCGTAGCTGGCTTTTACAGCTTCACCGGAAGGTACGGGGCGAGTGCAGATGGTACTCCAAACCCGCGGAAGGACTTATGGAGCGACTCTTTAGTCGCTCAACCAATTCCTACCTGATGGATACGACTTCAGTCAGAAGGCACTGCTAGGTTTGAACCTTCTTCAGCCCGTCGTAATAATCAATCCTTATATACTACTTACTTACTAAGTACATTCATCCTTGCACACTTGTAGAAATCCGTGGATAAGCTTATTCACAGATCTAGCTACTAAAGCTCGATTATTTTCCAAAACATATTCAGCTTAGCTGGCAAATTACGTAGGTACTAAGGTTATTGCAGTCAGCTCTTTGACTAACACTAGTATTTTATTCATAGGTGAGTTGTCTTGTGATTTCGATTTAGAATTGGAAGATAAATCTTAGAGGAATTACTCCCGTATATATATATGTATTTATTTTTCAATGTTAAGGGCCTCGAAGCGTCTCATATTTGTGAGGTAATTAATGTATAAGCAAAATTACAGTATAATTTGAAATAACGTTAGAAAACTAGCATACAATTCAAGCTACTTGGCGGTCGTACTCGTTACGTACTCTTGTAAAGTGTTACTTTGTGTAAAGTCTGTTGCGTACTAATTTAATGAACTCAGTTTGGATAGCAAAATGAAAATACAATGTATAGGTAAACATAATTCACTTTATTACAAACGTTTGCATTCGATGAACTATAACATCACAAGCGAACGGGTGCTTGATACTTAAATAAGTTAAACATTAGAATATATAACAGATAAATAGATCTAATTATAGCGCTCGCTTGCCTCTTTGGTGTCTACTAGCTAAATATATAACATTAGTTATATTTTGCGCCAATTTGGCACTACTGCACTGTAAGTTTTGTATAAACAATATGACGTTAGACCGCTGGTATACAGTCGGTAAGTAGTCAGGTTGCCAGAATGCTCCGAAATGGTTAGTTTGTATCACACAAATGCACCAATCGGAATACATCAGAACGTTAGTCGTATTCGTGATACCTGACGATAAACCGAATGTATACAAGCAGCCTTAATTGCATACTTTACATGGAAATTATTCTTTTAACAAACTTTTTAGTGATAAAGGATAGAATATGTGTTATTTGCATTATACAATAATAGAAGATAAGTACATACAATATCTTTACCAACCAACTAACTGATGCTTCTTCAAATCTACCTGTTCCAATTCCGTACTCCCCATAACTAAAACTGGAACCACAGTGTCACTCACAAAATTACATACTTCAATATTACACTTAGATATCCTGCGATATATCAGTCACATGCGAGCACATCAATGACAAAATCGGAATTGAAGATAGTCGCCGTGGCCGAAATCGGCCAGGATTACATCATCATCATCATCATCATCAGATATCCTGCAGTACAATCGTAATTTAGTCAAATTACATGATATAAGAAATCGTGCATATCATTTCTGTTTCCAATTACACCGGGGGGGAAATGTTATGCCAACTATTTGAATCTCTCGACCGTTATGACCAGTAATTTAAGAGTCATTATATGGTAGAATTAATCACATTTTGTAAAGATTTAAACAGTTCAGTAATGCAGTATAAGTAGCACAATAACGTATATACATAATATTAATAAGTATTTAATACAATTCAATTTCCAGCAAATAGGTAACAAGCGCAAACTGCAGTGAGGTGAAACTATATGTATGTAGACTAGAATATAACTGTTTTATTATCTATTCTTTTTCATAATATAGTATTGAATATCTAGAAGACAGAAAGGAGAAATTAAGAAACACTATATCATCATTACATAGTATAAAACAAAGTCGTTAGCGCTGTCCGGCCGTCCCTATGTATGCTTAAATCTTTAAAACTACGCAACTGATTATGAAGCGGTTTTTTTTATAGATAGAGTGATTCAAGAGGAAGGTTTATATGTATAATGTACACCCGTGCGAAGCTGGTAGCTAGTATTAAAGTACAAACATATAAACATAGATATATAATACAGCAAGGCAGATTTATCTATATATTTTTTATTCGTTGATTCACACAGCGCCATCTAGACCCAAGTTAAGCAGAGCTCGTATTATGGATACTAGACAACTGATACAAATATAGTCATTTTTTTGTAAATGCTATTAATAATTTTACAAAACATCTGTATGATATCTGGGTATATATTATACATATATTTCCCTCTGTCCTCACTGTACTTCTAGATAAGTATGTAATTCATAACAATTTTACATAAATTTGACAGAATTTAAATTAAATATTACAACTGAGTTGATATTTTCTATTGGTGTACGTAATACTGCTTTAATATCTAATAATACCACACTTCTCATTAGAAGTTGTGGATCTAGAATTAGCAGAAACTTATTTTTTAATTACAAAGCTGATTTGCCTTCTATTGTTACGTTGTTTGCTAAAAAAATTATTTCAAGGAGTTGCTGCTTTGAATTTATTAATTCATCATCATTAACATCATCTCCATCATAATCATCATCACTATCTGTTTCTGCTTTATCCAATCATTCGACATAATATTTAGTTAATTTAATCGGCAATTCGAAATTATCAGGGAGCTAGTCAATTTGAAATTACAATATCAAGGAGCTAGCGTGGGATTGATTATGTAAGATTGTTGCTTTGATTTGCTATTTGAAACAGATGTACAGTTCTACGGTTCACAACTGTAACTATCAATAGTTTATACAGAATCGCAAGACTGTCAATTTCTATCTAGGTTGTATCTTGATGGTATAGTATAGGAACTTTTTAATGAAACTATGTACATCCCGTTGAATTTAGGATCGTTTGTTTCTAAGAATAAGGTTTGGTTTGTATAAATAAGTGATTGGCTCGTTCATTGTCTAATTATGAAACCTGATGGTTACAGTAAGCCTATCTTTAAAAGTATCATTTGATGTTTCTTATGGATCATCAATCTTATTGAAATACATTTTAGTACCAAAATTGGATATTTTTAAAATTTTCTCTATTATTATCCAAGAATGTCTAAATAATGGATTAATTTATGTTAAAATAGGTTGTAAGTGAATCAACAGTTTCACACCAAATTGCACCTTGTTCGCATTAACAATAAGAGTTACATTCCATTTTACACGTATTAGTAAGCCGTATATTGCGATATCTCTTTGGTTTCACACTTCTTAGAGAGATTATACCGTCCATTATGCTCTGAGGTATCAGCGTCTATTATTTACACTATACAAAACTAAATCTTATTTACACTGCACAAAAGTCGCTTTCTCACTGTCCTTTTACAACCTGAGTTGGGCAAAGTTTTGAGGCACCTGACTACGTTCAATGTTAGTCAGATGTAAAGATAGTCATTTTTGGTTTCTCTACAATAACTAATGCTGGGGAATTTATATACAGGGCTGTATCTCTTCTCGGTTTCTGCTTCTAGAGACAGCGCCGAGAGAGCTCTGGATGGTACTTCTTCTTCCTCAGTGGGTTCGGGGGGTGGGAGGGCTCTAGGAGGAAGTGGTGGGGCGCGCGGGTTCCTTCTCACTCGGAAGTGGCAGTCGGAGTCCGCTGACCACGCCCGTTGCACTTGCAGTGGGAAATCATCCGGGTGAAGTTTTCTCTCGCACTCCTGGGATGGACACACCTGGAAAGAGAATTTAACAATAAATCTCAGGGGAAAAGGGGATTGTTAGTAATGTGGATTGTCAGGTTGACCTCCACGCGGTTCCCCCTGGAAACCATCGTGATAAATTCGTGATGAATTTGTCACGATGGGCTAACTGACTTGACCTCATGTTCATCTTATCATCCTCCACTGGTGCCCGGCCAGCCGTTAGCGCAGGCGGGTGCACCATTCCTTTATCATAAAAAAAAACAATAAATCTCGATGACCTCAGTGGTCTAGCGGTTTAGCATACCACTTAACTTTGGACCGCTTACTAACAGACCTAAGAAGCTGGGAAGAGGTCCGAACTCGTTTAATATTCCAATTCTATAAAAATGATCATGATGAAAGAACTAACCTACCACGAGTGTCACGTCCGTAGCGCCGTTTATATATATAGGTGACGGTTCCTGCTCATCATCAGGTGAACCGTCAGTTCCTTTACTATTCCAATAGCCATTTACCCTTACCCTTTTGTCCTTGCTCTTTCACGCGGGAATAAGCTATCACGCAAAATAATGTGTATGTAAATGTAGACAAAGAGAACTAGAAAGATCGCGACCGTTCAATCGTGCTTTAGTGACTTTGCAAACGATAATAGAATAGAAATAGAAATAATCTTTATTATTAAACTCAGTACAAGCAAGTCATATTTTTTATTCTACCACTCATTCGAAACGCAGATCATCACAAGAAGAATGAGCAAGAAACTTGTATGATGATTTTTAATATATGTTTACATAATAACAAGTAAGGTATGCGATAATCAACATAGAAACCGCTACACACTAATTTTTAGCGCAATCAATATTGTCAGCGCTATGAATTTTCTGTTTTCACTTAAAAAACATTAATATCATTTACAGACCTCAGTTTTTTATGAAGGAAGTTTTTTATACGATATTTGAATCTTTTTTCATGAATTGAATGTGTCGTGTAAAGGACTTCAATACTTGTAATGATGATGATGATCTTCAAAAATGAAGATGAGAGAACTAACCTCATAGAGGGAGAATCGTTCCACACCCTCAGTAGAGTCGTAACAGTGCAAGAGTATGGCGAGCAGTTCGTCGACCGTGGTCCGTTCGCTTGTCAGCAGACATTTGTATTGTGATGAGGACATCAAGGCTGAGTCGTATATCTTCACCAGGCCTCCAGGCCGCATTTGTAGAGAAAACCTGGAAGTAAAGTAGGTAATATTATAAGAACAGCGTTTTAAAGACTACTTTTGATTTTTCAAAAAAATTTCAAATTTTAAAATGTGATGAGTGTGGTGATCACAAGGATAATGTTATTATATATATGCTAATGTGTATAATATGGGCCAATATTATTATATAAATAATATTAGGTTGCCTACTAAAATTTACTGTAGGAGATATTAGTCACTTCTGCAAGTAAAGTTTTTTCTATTAATATTTTCTTTCCTAGCATAAAATCAGTGTATAGATTTAATTGAGAAGAACTAGCAAGAAACTCGACTGATTAGTTTTTCTAAAGCCAATTTCTCAATATTGTTCGTTTTTATCTAAGTTAGGTAAACAAATTCCAGAAGGTGTGCTTTTTTCCCTTACCGCCCCTCAAAAGCTTTCTGTTTTCACGCAATAATTAGCTGGTAGATACATAGATTGATTACCGAGACTTTATTCATAATCATAATAAAAAAAAACAGATTTAAAATTACAAATAAAAAATACTTCAAAATACAATTTTGTAATATAAAAATTAGAAAAAATCTTATTATTTAAATCTATGTATTTAACGAAAATACTTAACAATTACAAAGATAGAAATAAATATTTATTTATTAATTTAACATTATTCGTAACAAAAATACGCAACAAATACAAAGAGTAATCAATTCTAAAAATACGTAATGTATGGCTATGCAGATAAATGCGGACAGTTTTTAATGCGTTTTTTATACCTGTTTAATCACAATATGCACCTGCCTCGGCTTGCGGTATTGGAAACCTGCACGAAATTGCGGTAACAATATAACGGGATCAAGTGCTAAATGAATAACAACTCGTTAATAAACCGACTTGGTTTTGACATTTAATCCAATCGAATTTCCTTTCAGAACTTTCTAGAGACGCTGTTAACTTGTAACACGCGACTTTGTCTGCTTTTTGAGATAAAATATCATCTATATTTGTGTCATGATATAATCTTAGTTCACGTCAAATTTAATTATGTTGATTGTCGCAAGCTTAATTCTTGTTTATTTAGAACAACATTTATTTGAAAGAGCAATAGTTAAGTTTCTTTATCATTCTTCTTGTGATGAGTTACCGTTCCGTATGAACCGTATAATATATGACTATTTAAAAGTGATTATTTTATGTAGTGATTATATTGTTTTTTTAGAATAAAGATTATTTCTATTCTATTCTATTAAGACTCATCCAGTCCTTTAATCATGAAACTCCAACAAATATACAGATACATTTTTGCATTTATAATATTAGTATGGAAGTGTAATAGTCAAATTATTTTAATTTATATATTTTGTGTTATTAAGTGCATCACTTACTTTTTCTTTTTTTCTTGCTTTCTTATATCTTTTTCTTTTGTTATCGAGAAGAGATTGCTTATCGATAAGACCTTTTGTACTAGTACAATATTTTTATATTTTTTTACCGTTTTTTTTTTATTAAAGCGCCTGATTTATTTTATTAGCATTAAGAAGATAAACCGCATGTGTAGCATTGTATACATATTTTTTTATACATACATAATTTTCGTTATTTTAGTCATTCATACATCATTGTAATAATAAACTAAGTTTCTAAAAGGTTAGTAAAGTACTAAAAATATCTAAAATCTGAATTACGTCAGCTCCATTGTGTTATACAAGACATTACAAATATTATAAATTTATAGCCATACAAACTCATATGAAAATAGACAGCAAAGTTTTATGTGAATTCGTCTCGTCTCATACATTAAAAATTGACGTTAAATTTGACCCGCCAGTTGAAATGCGATTTGCTTCAGCAGAAGCAAATATTACGAAAGAATTCATCGCCTAGTTTACAACAGCAATCCGGATTGTCAACATGCTGCAACACAATCCATATGGTCAATAAACTGGGATCTTTTAAGTTTATACCGCTCGTGTTTACGGGACAAGAATAGAAAGACCGGAAGGGGACACAAAAAGGACACGACCGCTTCTTTTTTCGGCGGCCGGTGGTCCGCGCCAACGAGTTATGCTTAGGTGATTATAAGATGCTTGCTGGAAAATGGCTACGTGATTTATAGGTTAGAATCGCGACTGAACTGCAAAGGTTATAGAAAATTTCTAGTCAATTTTGTTAAAGAATTTTCTGTTCAATATCATTGAAAAGAATGTAAATCTCGACGTTTCGACTAGGTTGCACTAGCCGTCAGCTCGTGACCACGGCTAGTGCAACCTAGTCGAAACGTCGAGAGAGGTAAATACCTTTATTTGCCATAAAATTATTCGTGTTAAGACCCGGTTAATAATTTAAATAATGTATATTAAACACGAAAGTTTAAAATTAAAAGAATGTAAATATTTTTATTAAAATTAAAATAAATTTAAGAAGTTTTGAATAGTTATAATTATTTTTTTTTATTAATGACCGTATATAATGACCGATTGTATCGCTATGTTCTCTTTTGTATATAAATTATGAAACAATTTGATAACAGCTAATTAATAATTAATGATTACAAAATTACGAAGTATTTTACAATGTTTTCGCTGGATTGTACAGGGTTAGTCTGATTTATAGAGTCAAAAAGAATATCATATTTATATATGATATTCTTTTTGACTCTATAAATCTATAAAAAATATAAATATAAAACTCTATAAATTTATAGAGTCAAAAAGAATATCATATTTATATATGATATTCTTTTTGACTCTATAAATCTATAAAAAATATAAATATAAAACTCTATAAATTTATAGAGTCAAAAAGAATATCATATTTATATATGATATTCTTTTTGACTCTATAAATCAGCTAGCTACTCGCCCCGGCTTCGCACGAGTGTACATGTATTGTACATATAAACCTTCCTCTAGAATCACTCTATCTATTAAAAAAACCGCTACAAAATACGTTGCGTAGTTTAAAGATTTAAGCATACGTAGGGACGGACAGACAGCGACAGCGACTTTGTTTTATACTATGTAATGATAATGACTTCAGACAATTCATACAATATATTATAAATATATAATATTTTTTCGCAAATATATATATATGTATGTATTTAGAAATAACACAGACCAAATATAGGCAACGATCTTGTGACCATCGCAAGTAAGATGTACTAAACCACTACCACTATTAATGGTGAACTTGCCATGATGGGTTAACTGACCTGACCTCATGCTCATCTTATCATCCTTCACTGGGGCCCAAACCATTAGCGCAGGCACACCATTTCATTACCAACCATAATAAAAAAAAACTATATAACTCTAAATAACCAAATGTATAGTAACCCTAACCCTAACTGCAGTTTTGATGCAATATAACTTGGACTTACTTAGAGTATCCCTTCGGATGGCAAGCCTGCAACGCCGCAGGCCTGGCATCATCATCCAGCACCAGAGTGGTCCTCAGACCAGCTGCGCGGACTCGCACCTCCATGCTCATATAGAACAGCCTAGGGTCCCGGTGCTTCATTCGGAACTTTCCCAGGAGTGTGGCCACCACCTCCCGAGCTCTGGTGCCCCATGTTACAGATAGAGTCTTGTACTCGATGTCAGGGCGAAGACAGCGAGCGTATACTTTTATTGTTGTCTAAAAAGGAAAGATTTAATTGAGTCAAATTTATTCTGTTATGTATTTATACTGTTAAATTTATATATTTCAATATATATATGTATATTTAAAGTATATATTATATTTATATAACATAAATTATATATGTACATAGATTTTGTTTAGCTAATTATTTATTATAGTATTAATATCGCAAATTTTCGCCATTACTGCCCTACAACGCTTTCTAGTTCTACCCAAAGATTAGCTGGTAGAGAGTGTCATATGGCATTAAGCTCGCCTCTTGTACACTCTTTTAAAGTGCAATAAAGAATAAAAAAAAAATTGCGAGCACATTTGGGGGAAGGAGACCAAACGACCTTCCAGTACTCAGGAATATGGTAAGTATTACTATAGGCTGTGAGCGCCCGGAGATTCTTCAGGAAATTTTCCTAGAAGCGTAATCCAGCCGGTCCCGAAAACCAATGCTCATAGTTGATCTCTCAACGTTTCTACTTGGTAGTTATGCATGACAAAGTTTCTGGAAATACGTACGTGGAAATCGCCATTCATTCAAGATCAATATGTTATTTCAATATTTGACAGTTTGTGTGCTAATGAAATTCAGTTGATATCAATCCGAACAGTTCCGAAGAAAACGTGTTGTTATACATTATGGGGAGTGTTCTTGGGGACTGTTGTTAGATATATCTCGGGGAGTGCTCTTAGAAAATTTTCCATCGTATACGATTGAAAATTTCATAGACTCGCTGCAATACCAACAGATCCGGTTTAGCACAAAGACATTGATCCCCAATGATTCTAATCATCGGTGTTTTAAACCAATAGAATAGAATGTCATTTATTCAAATAAACTTAATTTAAGCACTTTTGAATAGTCATAGTTATCATTCTTTTAATCTATCGCTCATTCGGAAAGCTGTCTCATCACAAGAAGAACGAGCAAGAAACTTGCGTGTTGCTCTTTTAAATAATCATTGTAATTTTACATTTCCAATTCGAAATGTGCGAATACAAACCACCAACTAGCACTAATTAGCTTCAGATATTAAATACACGATAAGATTAAAACAGTCGTAGTGATTAGAGCAGACAAGTCCCTACAAGCAGCACACGTTCACGAGTATGACGTATGAGCCAGCAATCACAGAAATTCAAAGATTTGTAATGCTATCGTGCGACGGACGGACGGACAAGTCGCTAGTAATATATATAATATTCTAGTAATGTAACATTACCTGCTGTTTGTCATTTGTAAATTGTAATGAAGTGGCATTCTTGTCTAGAAGAAAATACCAAATATACACACACATACCTATACTTACAGGAAACGCAATAGAATGTCTGGATTGCAGAAAATAAAGTTCTCACGGCGCACTCAATGCAGCAGGCGAAACACACATTGTACTTTCACAATCGGTTAACCGATACAAGTTTTGTTTGCATATTTTTACGGCCTCGGTGGTTTAGCGGTTTAGCACACCGCTTTACTTCCGACGGTCGTGGGTTCGATTCCTCATACTGTACAAACATTTGTATTCATGAGTATGATTGTTTGTCTGGGTGTTTTTTATGTATGTATTTACAAAAAATATATATCTATGTATTTATATCAGTTATCTAGTACCCATAACACAAGCTTTAGCTTGCTAACTTGGATCTAGATGGCGCTGTGTGAATTGTCCTGAGTTGTGTAAAAAAAGCATCTAAATATTTATATCAGTTGTCTAGTACCCATAACTCAAGCTCTGCTTACCGTGGGACTAGATGGCGCTGTGTTAATTGTACAAGGTTACTTATTGTTATTATATTAATATGCAAACAAAAGTGGTACGTAACAATACACAGCAGTAATGTCTCCTTATCACCGTCTGATTGAACGGTTGGGTCAACGTGTCTATCATAATTTAATACATTGTACAGTAAATTATAGTCTTTGAATTATAATTTAATAGAAATCAAAATATCTCCTGTTGTTATTACAGATAGTTATTATAGTGACACTTGATCAATAATAATTAATCAACTTAATTTAATCGAATTAGGTGTTATTTTAAGTAAGTTTTTAAGTTTTTAAGTATATAAGATAGATATATTATTTCTTAAAATAAAAAAATATATATATCATCTCCCCTTTTAAAGATAGGAGATGGCAACTTACCCCCGGCAGAAGCACAGTCAGCCGGGGTTCAGGGCCCCAGGGAGAGAAACCGGCGTACAATGCGGGCAGAATCTAAGAGCACCGCTTCCTGCATCTTTCCCGAGAGTGAGCCGCCTCAGAATCCCAACCGTCTGAGATGTTGTTCCAGACTAGTTGGGATAAGACCGTTCACCGACATAACTTATTATTATTATTATTTTGCGGAAGTCCATTTCACTACTTGATAGATTTATAATATTTTGTTTAATTCAGCGGAATTATCGTAAATAATATAATTGACGTAGTGGAGTAACCTGAAACAGTCATGCTCGCTATAAAGTTCAAACTTGTGGCGGCGTGGTGGGCCAGGTCGATGTGCTCCCTCAAATATGGTTGAGTACAATGATGGCTGGCTCATACGTCATACTCGTGAACGGGTGCTGCTTGTGGGGACTGGTCTGTTCAGGTTGTGAACACTGATTAAATTTTTTGTTCTTTGCGATAGCATTGCTGGTGGTCAATCTATTCTCCCAAATTTGAATTTTAATGACTGTATATTATTATAAACATGTTCCACTATTATTTGAAAAAAATACGAGCTGAGTTTCTTGTCAGTTCTTCTCATCTCGATATCATTCCGAACTGACGGTAGATTTGACATATCATAAGAGTCTGTAATAGACCTACATGAATAAAGATATTTTGAATTTTAACATGTGTGAGACTACAAATATTCGGTGTGGAAACCTGACCAGCGCTACTGGTCAGGTTTCCACACCTCAGATTTAAGTTGCCTTAAGTCTCTATGTTCATTAATGTAATCAATGATAGATCAGGTTTAGTCTTTATAGTTAATAAAGACTAAACCTGATCTAATCAAATATATCAGGTTTAGTTTTTAGAAAGAAAGAAAATGTTTGTTTTCTGATACGATTATATATTCTTCACGCGAATATAATGCCAATTAGGTAAGATTAATATAAAATGAATATTAAATATCTCTTAAAATTTTAAAGTCACAGGAAATATTAAATAATTTTTAAAATGTTATGTAACGCCAATTGTGAAGGTACATAAATGCACTTATACAACTTTTTCTTTATGATTACATAAAAAAATAATGTGATTAATATAATTTTAATATTAAATTCTACTTAGAATTACAAGTATGAAAAATTTCAGGAAATGTACGAGTACTCGTAAAGTGGTTTTGATATTAATAATAATAATCTCAGGATAATTCACACAGCGCTATCTAGACCCAAGTTAAGCGAGCTAAAGCTTGTGTTATCGGTACTAGACAACTTATACAAATACATAGATAACTTATTTTTTTCGTAAATACACATTATACATAGAAAATACCCAGACCGATATAAACAATCATACTCATGAATGCAAATGTTTGTGCCGTGCGAGGAATCGAACCCGCGACCATCGGATGTAAAGCAGTGTGCTAGACCGCTAGACCACCGAGGTAGTCCTTTATTATTAATAAGTAGCTATGACGCGGTTGAGCGTATCGACGTCATACTCGTGAACGTGTGCTGCTTGTAGGGACTGGCGTGCTCTAATCACTACGACTGATTTACTCATATTTAGTTAATCAACCAGTTCGTTATATATTTAACTAGCTATCCACCCCGGCTTCGCACGGATGTACATGTACTATACATATATAAACCTTCCTCTTGAATCACAATTCAAAAAAACCGCTTCAAAATCCGTTGTGTAGTTTTAAAGATTTAAGCATATATAGGGACGGACAGACAGCGACAGTGACTTTGTTTTATACTATGTAATGATATTTCGACTCTCCTAAATTAGTGCCATTCTGAAGTTTGTATTCACACATTTTATCTTAAAAATGTATAGTTAACATCGATTATTTAAAGAGCTATACACAAGTTTCTTGCTCGTTCTTCTTGTGACGGCATTCCGAGTGAGTGATAGATAAAAAAATAAGTACAACTATGCAAAATTAATTAAATTTGAGGTTATTTAAATAAAGAATTTATTTATTTACATCAAACTAAGCGAGCCTTACAGTTATCCAACATAAGAAGATTACTTATATATTTTACACCAATTACAATTAACAACAATATTAATTTCACATATATAGAACTAGTTGTTCTCGCGACTTCGTCCGCATGGAATTTTACTTAATTTTCTAAAATAAAAGTAGCCTTTAAAGTTATTACTTATTACTTTTTAACGGTTAAAATTCGTCCAGCCATTTCAGAGATTAGCCGGAACAAACTGACAGACAGACAAAAATGGTAAAAAATGTTACTATGATGTATGTATATTCATATGCGTGTAGTAAAAAAACGGTTATTTCAGTATTACCAGCAGACACTCCAATTTTATTTATATGTGTAGATTATCTACTCTAATTAAAATGAATGGGATGAAACACAGATAGTCACATGAATATTATGGGGATGAAATGGGATGAAACACAAATACTCACATGAATATTATGGGGATGAAGCGCTAAGCGCGTACGCGGCACCGGTATAGGAATCGCCATGACACGTGCGCACGAGTCGCTGCGGGAACACAACTGACAAGTGGCAATACGATCCTGGAGGGCTACAGGGCCGCAGGGCGCCGGATATCGACTCTCAGCCCCCACAAAGGGTAGGGGAGATACATTACCACCTGTCGAGCCCGATGAACAGGAAGTTTATGCAATTGTGCGGCTACATATCGATTTATTTGCACCCGTGAGAATGCATTGTCGACGAGGAAGTGCGAATTTAACTATGAACATTTTATTGGATTTTTCAAATATTTCTGTAGTTTAGACCGCTTTGCTTCTGATGGTCGCGGGTTCGATTCCACGCACGGTACAAATTTTTGTATTTATGAG